AATTTCATCATAGAGGATGGTTTGGGGTATTTTTGAGGTCCTCTTAGTAATTTGAGTTTTTCTCCATGAAGAAATGGCTTTTGGATTGCACGGAAGGTGTTATTCGTAATCAGCTCGTTAAGCTGAATCTGAATATGTATAATAATGCCAAAAAAAATTCCACTTGAAGTTTGCATTACGCGCATCATATATTCTTTGATTACCTGCAAATATCTCTTAAATGAAAATAAAGATTTTCTGATTTTTTCACATCAGGATGACACAATGTACTGTCTAAAGTAAAAGCCAGTAGATAGCTACCATCAGAAAGAGTTCTATTCTCCTACCTGTGCCATTGATCATATTCGCATATTTATCCGACCAATATGGTAATGAATTGGAGTGATTAAAACTTTCAATAAATCCAACTTGATTGATATTATTGATACCATTATTAATTAACCATACATCGTATCCTACAGAACTCATCTAAACGAAAATTTTTCAAAAGTGTCGTAATAAACATGTATTTTAATATCATATTTACAGCTTGTCCAAATACAGCAATTTGATCATCGGTAACTAAATCTGGTAGCATTGATTTTGCTAGCGAGAGCAAAGGATCAGTGTAACCCCAAAGATATTCATGAACTGTTCGTTTCATAACCGGCTTTTCATTAAATGAGGATAATATTTCTCCAATAATTCGACGGTCAACGGTCGATTTTATGGTTCTTATGTAATTTAACAATGTCTAAATCGACAAATTGAATTAATCGACTTCGAAAGTGTGATGTGATTAATTGATCTTACCATATAAACTACATTAATTGTTGTAAATGTAGTTGTGCTAACATCTTCACTTGATCTTGAACGATCAAACGTGTAAGTTCTTGGTTCCTGATATGATATCGTCTGATTTGCATTCGATACGATGTTGATTTTTGTACGATTTTCACTAAAATCAATAATAAAAAGATCTAGAACCCTACTGAACAGTGAAAAAATCTCCTGCTTACCGATATACGAATGGACCACGCTGGTACAAAACTGGCTTCGATCCATTTAGAAATTCATCTACATTTTTTAAATCAAACACATATAAGAATAAATAAATTGGTACAGGTGATGAAACCCAATTGTTATACAACAGTGTGCCTTCTTTCAGCTGTAATTCCTAAAAAAAAGAAAAGACAGCTAAGCCAACAAAACATTCTTAAGGGATACCATTCGGAACAAGTTCCGTCGTTAGTGACGATTTTTCGTATTCCTTCGACATGATTTTGAATATATTTACAATTTTTTAATGTCTTTTGGTACATATTACGATACTATTAGTACCTTCGCAGACAAATAAATATAATCAGAGTTGAGTATATAGATAGAAGTCTCAACTGAGAAGAGCAGTGTATGAAATAAGCATAAATTTAATAGAAACAGAAGCTAAAAAGAGGTAGCTATACCTTATTCATCAGTTTTTTAACAGTTGAATCGCCTATAACAATCAACACAATACCGCTAACAACAAATATAATACCAGTTAAACATAGAACAATCGATATCCATCGGTTTCTATCCATTATATTATTCAAGTTAAGAAAAGAATCTAAATAATATGAGAGAAAGGTGTGTAGTAAGAACATATACAAAACCAGTCATTACCGAAATGTTTCAAGAGAAAAAAATCAGCTTCGTGAATTGCACTATATTACATCAATAAGCAATAAGCAGCTTAACTGTCAATGTGGGAATCAGCAGTAGAGAATATAAAGGATAAACCTATTATGCTCATTCCAATCTAATATTTCGAGTATTCTTATCGTCTAATCAGCACATTGGCAGTTATCTGTTGGGTAAACTTTGAAACCTGCATTTATCGGATACTTTCAAAATGACTAATAAAAGCAGCAATGGACACATGTACAGTTTTTGAATATGAGCATCCAAAATTTCGCAGTACTCGTACTCACCCACCCCTAAAAAAGAAAAAGTACGATTTATATCTCAGAAAAGACAAAATAACATAAAGCAACGTATAAATAATATATAAAAAAACAGAATAAACTATAAAATGTGTTCGATTACACTAAATATAATAACAATAAATAAAAAACAAGATACAAACCATCATTGAGAAAAAAAAAGAGATATACTCTCATTCATCTTCATTCAGCACAATTAAAAAAACGTTAATGAAGATTCGTGGACGGCAATGAATTTAAAATGAACAATATGACGTTAACGTGGACAAATTTTATTTAAACGTTCTAAGCATTTATCTGCACCGTGTTCGTAATAATCTTTACGTGAAATCCACTGTACTGGAGAATCTTTAACAAGATTAGCGTAAACAGCACCACCCAAAAAGACCATATTTTTTCGTCGTGGCGGAGCTTCGATACAAATCATGTTTTTCTAAATAGGAAATCACGGTAAGACAAGATTCTCATCCGAAAAACAAAACTTTTATTGTCATACGGCTGATTTTTCCGGATCGCTTCGTTGTATTCGTTCATGGTATAATTGTTCTAGTTCTCGTTCTAGTCTTGTCCCAAATCCTGGATACATTGTTGTTCCTCCACTCAACACAATTTGCTTATATAACTTTTTTCGAACATCCAATGGTGCTGTATTTATAACCTCAAATACTAATTCGGCAATGCCCTTCACCTCCATTCCTAAGAGCGAAGGACGAAACAGAACTTCTGGTGCTTCGAATCGTTCACCCGACATTTTTACTGTTCGTCCGTCTGGTAATACATAACTTTCAACGAGTACAGTTGTATCCAATGTCAATTGACGTTCTTTTTCCAGATCATGTGCAACATAACAAAGTTTTTCTTTTATTTGTTGAACCGTGTCAAAATCAGCTGATTGATTAAAAACATACTGAAAGATGAAAGAATGAATGCAAATGAAGACGAAATAAAGAAGCACACTTACACCTCGAAGTAACAATATTTTGATCAAATAGCGTGTTATATCTCTTCCAGCAATATTTAAACGTGCGATGGAATTTTGTAAGCAATAACCATCAACAACTGGACAAATGTGTGTAACACCATCTCCAATATCTACTACGACACCAGTTAATATACCTTGTGCGTACAATGTAAGAATGGCTTGATAAGCTAATGAAACTTCGGAAAACTGAAATTGTTCCAACATCACTTCTAACATTTTTGCTCGGTTTTTAACCGGATTCAAGGGAGCTTCGGTCAATAATATTTTACAATCTTTTGGATCAATGTTCATCTTTTTTGAAGAAAATAAATAGTTGTATATGTGTTTCATATCTTCCCAATCCTGAACAATCCCATTTTCAACAGGATAACGAATATCTAACATTTGACGAACTTTCTGAGCTAAAACAAATATGTTGCTTTTTATTAAGAATCGAATCTATTCAAGGACAAAATGTCCTGCACTCCAAAACATGAGACAAGAATACGTTCGAAGACCGAAATTACCTTCATCGCCGACCATAATATCTTGGACTTCGATATCATGAACTTTTGATCGTGAACGGATTTGCGGTCTACCAACCATACAAGGAAAAACATAGTCAGGAAAATTACTTGTACAATAACCACATTTAATGTACTGGAGAAAAAGGAATCAATAGCTATCAACCAGAGACCAGAGAGACGTGGAAATACTCACACCAGTGCCATTATCACATACAATTACTTTTCTTCCATGTGAATCCATATATTTTTTGAATCTATATAGATTCTTAGCACTACTCGTCTACTATACTGAATTTTCTATATCTAAAAGGAAAACGAAAAAAACGAGAACATGGAATAAAAAAGATAATATACTTATCTGGCATACATATCATACTAAGTCACTACTGTGCCTTATCTGGTTTCATCTTTACCGTACAAGTTTACCTTCATGTAAAAACGATTCCAAAATATTGAACAGAAATGGTTTGGGGTGGCTTAATAGCTCCTTCTGTACGACAGACTAGCGATAGTATGCTAAAAACAGGCTACAGTGTCCAAACAATGGTGAATTTTCTGTTTTCAAATCAAATGTTTTCATGGTCTCATGGCCTAAAATAAAGCAAACGTTTATATTAATATAAAAGAAGAAATTTAGTGAAGAAAGAGAAAGCTCATGACTAGACATTATCTCTTGCTGATAATTCATTTTTTTTTCATTATGTGAATGGTTCTTTAATAGCACCACTCATAAGAGAAGGAGCTAAGACAAAAAAGGAGAAGATATGATCATGATGCCGTTAGTGTGCAGATCGCCAAGCGGCCCTCCGAAAACAAGATGTGCAGAAAAATCAATTGCCTCTAATGATATTCTTCATTTTTAACTGATCCATGTTTGAATTCTGGATTATAAAATTTAATTTCTATTCTCATTTATATAAAGGAAGTCTCAATCTTGGACTCTAGTTTCCAGGTCAACGAAAACTGGAATTTAATAGCTCATGAGCTATTAAATGCCAGTTTTCGTTGACTGTATGTATTTAAAACTAACAATCACATCAAGTGTCAAGTGTCTGTCAATATGTCATTCTCGAACAGTCAATGTATCTCGAAAAAACTAGCATTTTATATTGACAGTTGACTGTCAGTATTTAACCACTCGTCAACAACCCATTCCTCTTCCTATTTCGGTCTGATGACTAACATAATAATAAATTTGCCTTTGATTCGTTTGAAGAAACAGAATTTTTCTCTTCTTCGATTATACAAGTCATTTAAACTTGTCTCGAGATAGCCTCTAGTTCTGAGACTGATACCAGTGATGGTGTCATGGTCTAAAGAACCAAAATATTGAAATTTGTAAATTCAGTCTTTGTGAGGCTACTAGTAAAAAAAATGACTTTGGTCAAACAATAGGTTGTTAAGAGTCCATAATGCTGCAGAAACTGCCTTAAAACGAACATCATAAAATGTTTATTTTATTGATCGTAGTGGAACTGCCACTTTAACATATTAAAGTGTTTCCAGTTTGAATGCACAAAAACAGTCATAAAAATTGTTGCAATGGTCTAAATATGTTCATTTAACAAACATTTGATGGATTATTAATGGATGTTGAATAGATAATGAATTACACCGTTTCAACCGTTGGAAACTACAAGATCATATAAAATCTTACAATATTTTGATTACCTTGTATGATAGTACAAACAGGAGTGTGTGAACAAGATTAGATCTCTCTTGTAAGATTCTGAAACGTTTAATTCAGGTTGATATGATAAATTTAATAAAATAAAGTGGATCAAAAAACCCCTGAACTGTCATGCTTACTTCGAAGATGCAGTGATGTGAAATGAAAAAATCAATTCTATTAATTAAATTTTAATTATTAAGTTTTGGTATTGCTATTTCATGTACAAAACTCCTACCTGTTTGCAGAAAATCAACAGCGCCTCCCTATTGAAAATTCTCATAGATAACTTAGGGATAACATTTTTATTTTCAGAGTAAAAATGTACTGTTTTATATACTCTTTCCAAAGGTCACACTTCGAACTCTTACACACATTTAGCGGTCGAAAACAGACAAAAATGACTATTTTGGCTCCTTAGAACTACCCCTGCCCGTTGAGTCATGTCTTTGGGTTAGCAGTCTTTGGAGCGTTGAATCGTGTCGGAGTAATCTAGTCTGGTAGGTGCTCGACGGGATGCCCAAATCCAAATTTTTGAATTCACGAGCTTTTTGTAAAAGATCAGGAGAGAAATAGGAGACCATCGCCTCTAACAGACACTCTCCTAGAAGGCCCCCAGGAACCCCCCGGGACTTCGTAACGGGATTCCCCGGGGATTTTCAGAGGAGTCTCCTAAAATCCCTGGGAACTCCCCTCCCTGTACGTCTGTTGGTTCATCTCTTTTAATTTCATATAACTGATTAGTAATTAAGTGCAGGTACCAGTGTGCTACCACCATCACTGGTACCAGTGTAGCCCATATCAGCCATCGAAGGTTAAACATTAATGCTGACTTACCAGAAGAAAATTCGAAAAATTTTATCATATAGAACTATACTATATTTATATATTGTCTATCTGCAAAACAGACGGTGAATGGGGAGTTGGCAGGGACTCCGCGAGGATTTCGCATGCTGGAGACCCATGGGGAGTATGAGAGGGACTCCCCGGAGAGTATATATTTTTAGGGATTCCCTAGGGACTTTGAGAGGAACGCCTTAGGGAGTCCTCGGGGATTATGCATTTTTCGGAGAGTCCCCGGGGACTTTGAGGGGGAGAATCGACTAGGGACGCAGGTTTTTCTTGGGCAAGCAAAATTTCCATTCCCACAAACGCTTGTAACTTTTTCTACAAACAAGTCATGAGAAGGTCTGTCTTACAATCGAAACAAAGAAAAAGAGAGAAAGATAATCATATGTAGTTTATTCCACTGGTATTTTCCGAGCTGTTCATTTAACAGTATAAACAAATGTTTCCTAAGAGATCGACAAGAACCAAAAAAAACTAAAGCGAATATGGAGAACAAATTATTTGCTACACCGTTCGTGGTATTTTTGCAATATGACTGTATTGTACAACAGTTCTCTTTTTCTTCTCCGCTTTTTTATTGGTCGAAAATGTCGCTAAAATCCATGAAGAAACAATTGAAAATCAGGAGAAAATTTTGGGAAAATCAGATGCTGAAATAAGGAGACCTTTCATCAGGAGAAAAGTCTACAAATCAGGAGTCTCCTGGTCAAATCAGGACATTTGGGCACTCTGGTGCTCGTATAATATATATGTAGACAAAGGAATATCAAAAAAATTCTGCATACGCCGCCTATACGAAATTCGTCTGGTAAATCAGTCATCTTTAAATCCCGGGCCTAACATATGCATTAAAATTATCTACTTTGCAATATTTCTAAGTTATGGAAATGTACCTTTAATGCAACACACGCCGCCTACTACTGTCTACTAGCACCATCTATTTACTAAAAAAATACAAACTGTCTAAATTTACGTTTATATTATATGAAACTAAATGCAAAATCTTAAAATCGTTCAAGCTCGCGTAGTTATAGTCTCTGACAACAGATACTGCATGTAAAAAAAATGGCTGACTTTAATATTCAAATTTTTTGAACAATGAAAATTGAAATTCTGACGGAAGCGGAGTGACTTTGTGGTATAGTATTACATACTGCTTTTACTGTATGGTGGATTCGAGATAATGTTTATTTCAGTTGTTAATTGCTGATAATTTTATCCGCGTGTATATTTTGATCATAAAAACTGTTAGAAGAATAACGTTTTTCTTCACTTAACGAGTTCTTTGTCAAAACCGATGATGTTCATTTCTCTATTTGTTAGATCAGTTATTCGGTAATATAAACAGTAGAGTTTTTGTTAAGAAGTTGTCATATTATCAGACTCCTTTCTTTCACAATAATTGATAAACACTTGACTTCATAACATTTGGAAATGCGCTTTTTTCGAGTAAAACAAACACTGTTTCATTCTTCTCAAGTTGTTAAATTGACTTTTCTAATAAAACAGACATTTTGCTCTTGTTTAACTAAATTCTTTTATATATTGATTTCATAAGTGTGCCTTTTGTCATCCACTAAAACATTGAACTGTTTATATTGACCGAGAAAACATACCGAAAGTATGCTAGATTAAGAGTCACTGTAGAGACTAGTGCTATTTAATTTACGTGAATTATTTGGCTTGGATAACTTTTTCAATATGAAACAGAATGTTTGTTTGTTGATTGGGTGCAATACCTTTATTTAATATCTCTGTATAACTTTTGATTTATAGCATGTCTTTAGAATAGATATGGAGAGAACGGGATCATTCACAATCAGATGTCTATGAAAAAACAGTAAACATATTGCAATAGGATCGAATGTATGCTTTTTTAAAGTAATCTGGTTATCGTGTATTGAAAATTTTTTCTTTTTTTTTTAAATTTCGAGAGTCTCTTTTCAAACGGCACAATGTGTAACGTCTTTTGTGATCGGTTTCTAAAAGAGATTTCAATCGACCAGAACGAGAGAGAAAAATATGTACCGAAAGAAGTGAATAAATGTTGTCATATGTATATATATATATATCAGATTGATTCAGTATAAAAAAAAATGTTACATATCTTTGTGTACCTTTTCAAACATTTTTCAGTCAACATATATGCAAGAAAGAAAGAATTTACAATTTGAATTTTCAACCATTATTTATTGTTTTGGTTTGTTTTTCTATTATTGAGTGAGATGCAAATATTTCACGTGTAGAATTATATTTTTCTTTAAGACGTTGTTGACAAATATTTGTAAGTTTTTGTTACATATATATTAATTTACTTATTTTTTGAAACTTTTAAATTGTATATAATTTGTTATATACCTGATATTATTGATTAGTGTACGTTTTTCAGTAAAAATGTCAATTAATTCCAGCCACTTTTGAGGTATTTTGTACTTTAGGAGGAGATTTTTCTGTTTTCTATTCTCATCTGTATAGCTTAAGATCAATCATATCTATAATTGTATTTGACATGACACTTCAAATCAATAATAAAATATATACGATTACGTTTTCTCTACTTC